TATGATCGACAAATTAGGGTTTGGGGTGCTGATGCTCAAAGAAGGTAATTTTATTCTATCTATTCTATTTATTTTGATTTTATTTTATTATTATATTTGTTCATATGAGTATTTTTTTTTTAGATTGAGCAAATCTCATATACTAGTTTATGGAATGAAAGGGAGTGTTGCTGAGGTACGGTATCTTCACCTTTTTTAGAATATCAGTTTTACTCGCTTTAGTAAAGTTTCAATTGCTAAATTAGCTCAATGAAGCTCATTTATCTAGTAAAAAAAGATCGATTATCAATTTAAACTCCAAACTTGATTAGTTATACTTGTTTTCATGTCCAATTTGTGGTTTCCGTACTATTTAAAGAATAACTCGATTAGGCTTTCGAGCTTCTGGAATCAAGCATTAGGCTCCTTGAATTTGGCTTGCTTAAGGTGCTCAAGCACGATAATGAACAAGCTGAATTCAAGTTCTGTTTCAATGCGATCTCGAGTTGCACATGAACTCAAGTGTCTCATTCACAGCCTAATTGTCACTACTATAGATCTTTTGTTATTGCATTATTTTGTGTTTTCTTTTTAATAATTATAGTTTAAACTTGTGGGTGTGGGTAGTTTTGCAAGAACATTGTACTGGCAGGAGTTGGTAGTGTGACATTGATGGGATGACCGTGCAGTTACCAACTCGGCTTTGTCTGCAAATTTCTTGATACTGCCTGATGAAAATCTGTACCATGGAAAACTCTTGCTGAGGTCTGTTGTGATTCTTTGAAAGAATTCAACCCCATGGTTCATGTTTCTGTAGAAAAAGGTTAGCTTTTCCTTTTCTTGGCCATCTGCTTTTTGTGTTTTGTGCATCTTATGGTGAAAAATTGCATTGCTCATAATTTTGTGCATTTTGGTTAGCCGTAGAGTCACATTTCCTCCTTTTGTGGGCTTGCAGGTGACATATCAACATTCGGTGTTGAATTCTTCGAGAAGTTCGATGCTGTGGTCATCAGTTGCTGCTCTCTTGCAAAAAAAGTATTAGCTAATATAATTCCCGATGCTTCTTATTGCCTGTAGATGATATGTCTTTGATATGTGTCAAGCATATTTTGGTGCCTAACTGAAATCTTCAATTGCAGAAATTGATCAATCAGAAGTGCCGGAAGTTACCCAAGCGTATAGCATTTTATACCGTGGATTGTAGAGGCTCTTGCGGTGAAATATTTGTTGATTTAAAAAACTATAAATATTCAAAGGTGATAAATATCACTCATTTAACTAGTGCTCATTCTCTACTAATCATTGCACTTAAATTTGCATTCTGCATCTTGTACAGCATATAAGAACTCGTTGTAGAAACCGAAAGGACAAAGAATAGTTCCGGATTCATGAACTAGAAATGCAATTGTTGATACTAATCTTGTGGATTTCTGTGGAATTTCTATTGAACTTGATTTTTGTCATGAATTGTTCTTGTGTTTCTCGTATATTTTCTGCTTGTTTCGTTGGTTTAACACCAAGTCTTAATGTGCCTTATGATCTGTATGATGAACATTTAACGCTTAAGTACCCTATTTTTTCTGACCGAATGTGTAAGCTTGTATTCTTGCTTTTATTTCTTTGACAGAAAAAGCTTGAGGAAACCATTGAATGCCAGCTAGAATACCCGAGCTTTGAGGTATGTAATAGACTTGTTCTAAACATGATTAGTACCTTAGCACATAATGTGCAATGCTGTCCTCAATGTCGTGAACTTAGCATGTAACAATTTGCTATCCAAAATGTGTGCATTTCATTAATTTATTTTATCAAGTACATTCCTTTCTACTGCAGGATGCCATTGCAGCCCTTGGAAAGCGCTTCCGAAGAGAGTGTCAAAGCTTTACTTTGCTATGAGAGGTATGCTACATATACTCTTTTGCTTTCCGGACAAGAAATAGGGAAAACAAATCAAAATCAAGTAGTATTCGGATCTGATGAGTAGTTTACTACGATGATTGTAGGCAAACCTAGGTTTCCCTTTTTTTTACGCGCATGCTTGCATGCCTTTTGATGAATCATTTTAACGTGCTCATTAAACTTCTCCAATATTAAATAATTCTGGGTTTACTTATAAGCATTTCTTTTTAACTTGCCTAGATTCATTCAATGGATCACATAGTTGCCTCTCTCTTACAGTGATAGAGCAATTCGAAGATATTGAAGGTCGTAATGCAGTACAAACATCAATCGCTGATCTTCCTGGTGTTCTGAAGCACAGAAAGGAACTTGTGAAACAAATGTATGGTACTGGGCATTTTGTCATCATCATTATCTAGAAGCGTGTTATATGTTTGTACTTACATTATAATTTATTGCAGTCAGTGAACGAGTCTCAGATACCCGATGCACTCCTAGAAAGACTGCTAATAGGTGCAAGTGAGTTCCCTCCAGTTTGTGCCATCATTGGAGGAATCCTTGGACAGGTTTGATTTTTGCCCTTTTTATTCTCCCTCTCAATCGAAAGATCGGAACTAACAATTACGACTCTACTGTATTAACACTATGCGATTGACCTTTTAATGATGTAGGAGGTGATCAAAGCAATATCAGGCAAAGGGGATCCTCTCAAGAATTTCTTCTTCTTCGATGCCATGGATGGGAAAGGCTTGATTGAGGACATATCAAAGCCTTGACACGGGTAGCCGAGCCAATTCGACGGATTGAGTACGCGAAATTGTAACTTAGCTTGTAACTTTTCAGCCTCCTCCACCGCTAACATTAATCAACTGATTGTTGCCTAAAACTGAAAGTCCAGAAAACTCGAAACTTTTGACGTTACCTAATAGACTTCGGAAGAAGGTTAAGGCTTTAGGGCATCTATTCTATAATTACATTGTCGAAATTTGCTTATGTTGCTTCGACACTCATCTTGGACATATGGATATGATCTTTTATGATTCTATTTAATGACAAAATGAGCATATACTTGTATTATAAACATCAATGTTGTGTACATAAGGTATGTACGTTATTAATAGATTAAGTAAATTTTAAACAGATATTATTTTATATTTGTTTCTAAACAAACATTAGTGCTCGACAGCCCCTACAAAATTTTATATTTTCTTCTAAACAAATATTAGTTCTCGACAGCGCCCTCAAATGATAAAAGGGTTAAAATTCAAAATGATGATAAACCAGAACGTGGGTAGTTTTTTGTCCCACAATAATCTCATCACTAATCACATTCAAACCGACGTCTCTAATCCATTTATTCGAAGTCCCCACAAAGTGCGCAGAGTAATGATCGAAAGTTAAAAAAGAAGAGACCCTACCATGGAAGGACCTTGTGCAGATGATGAAGAACAAACCGAAGACCAAAATCTTCTACTTCTTTTAAAGAACTTGGAACATCAATGGGACTCACAAAGAAAAGACCCAAGAAAACACTTTATAGAACTTGGACGGACTCGTCTAAAACAATCAAAACCCTCTAATTGCTCGACGAAAACTTCCCCACAAAACTTATGTCTTCACCATTCGAGGAAGCAGCATGGAAAGTGAGGACCAATGACTTGGCAGTGGAAGAGATACTCCGAGACAGAAGAGCGGCCATCGAGGGCGGTAAGTTGAAAGGAAGGCGACTTTTCAAGGACGACGATGAAACGAAAGTGGGTTTCCCATGCAGTGGGTTGGAGATTGATTTGTGTTGAAGAGAGTGAAGTTGATCGGTTTTCTCTTACGAATCTGATGATAACGAGGATGAAAACTGGCTGCCGAGGACAGAACATTTGTCCCCTTCGTATCCCCGTTGCGCTTATTCACCATCATCATCTTCTTCTTCTCTGTGTGCTGCTGATACTCTGCAGAGAGGATCTGGGACCGAGATAGCAACAATGGTGGAAAATGATATTTAGGAAGTGGAAGGGGGAGATTGAATGTCGTCAAGGTCTTTATTGCCATTACTTTAACTCTGTTCATTGTTGTCATCGTCTCAATGGGGAGCTTTGGTGTATCGAGATCAATACGCGAAGAATATTGATGAACGCAATTCTGAATTTAACTGCTTTTTCCATGTTTAATTTTAGTGATCTGTTTGAACATCAATGTTTCTAGTTATATATTTACTCACCTGTTTGTGCTTGAATATGAAACATTTACAATTGATGTAGTTTGCATGTAATTGAGCATGCATCCTCATTCTACAGTTTTAAGGTCTAATGCCATTTTTTCTCCTCGAGTTTTACTTTTTTATCAAGTTGATTAGGACCTAATTTAAATTTCATGTTTTTTTTACAAGTGATTAGGACCTAATTTAAATTTCATGTCTTGGGGTGAACAAGATGAGGAAAATAAGTTGAAAATTACATGGCAATGCCGAGTTATAATCATGAAATAAATTAGTTGATTGTAAGCATTAATATGAAGTTTAGCCTCTTAAACCATGCAACAAATTTCAGTGGCAACAGAAAAACAACATTTTGAATCATATGGCATATTATTAGTATATGTAAAATACACTAATACTATATAGAGCTTAATATAATCATAAATTAATAAATTTAACCAAAAAATTATCAAAAGAGTTAGTATGAAACAATTTCAAAGTCTAAACGAACTCAAATTTAAATTAAGTAAACCCGAATCGAACTTTTATCAAATTTTAACCAAATTAAATATGAACTACCGATGAAATGCTCAACTCATTGAGCACGTATAAGTGGAACCAAAAACATGATCACATGCCATGGTCATTCAAATAATTTCACCATCACATGTTAGGCTGTTCACAGACACGATCCACACTTGATCCTCTTTACATCCTATGATTAGTACGGCCCTTATCATCGACAAACAAAACCCTTTTGATGATGATATATTCTCACCATCCATCCTTTTGATGGTGATATGATCAATGATATGATAAAATCCCCCACCTTCTGTTTAGTTTCACATGGTTTTAATCTTCTCAGAAACCTCAGTGAAGAACCCCACAAAAAATAAAAAACCCAAGTCTCTTAAACACCAAGCTCTCATCAATGGTGGAGGTAATGATCTTAAAACATTCTCCATTATCTTCCAGTTTTAATATACATGTTTACTTGAATCTTATTTCTGTTCTGGGATTTCATTTGTCTAACAGGAAGAAAAGAAACCTGCAGAGGAGAAAGATGGTGAAAAGCCAGCAGAGGAAAAGAAAGGAGAAGAGTCGAAAGAAGAAACGGAGGAGGGGACGCCGCCGCCGCAAGAGATTGTTTTGAAGGTTTTCATGCATTGCGAAGGGTGTGCTCGGAAAGTTCGTCGGTGTCTCAAGTGCTTTCAAGGTTTTAAACATAAAACAAAACCACTTTAGCTTCGGTTTTGTTTATTTGATTTCGATTTTGATTAAATTAATGCATTTTTTTTTGTGATTTGTAGGGGTTGAAGATGTAATGACTGATTGTAAGAGTAACAAAGTGGTTGTAAAAGGAGAGAAGGCTGATCCTTTGAAAGTTCTCGAGAGAGTTCAAAGGAAGAGTCACCGGAGAGTGGAGCTTCTTTCACCGGTTCCGAAACCACCGACGCCGGAGGAGAATAAACCAGGGGAAAAAGAGAAACCTAAGCCTGAAGAGAAGAAGAAGAGGTCAGTCTCTTTCATAAATCAACTTGATAACAAAATATTATGTTTCCTCATTCCGGAATCTGACAAAGTTCGGATTTTTTTTTTCTTCTTCTTTTTCCTCGGCGATGAATTGCGCAGCCGGTACCGATCACGATGGTTCTGAAAGTTCATATGCATTGTGAAGCTTGTGCTCAGGAAATCGAGAAACGTATTCAAAGAATGAAAGGTTGGTCCATTTAAAGATTCTATGTAGTTATGAATCGTAATTAATTGAACTTTTAATACGAAGAAGTGTTATTTTTCAGGCGTGGAATCAGCTGAAGCGGATCTTAAGAATTCCGAGGTGACGGTGAAGGGAGTGTTCGAACCACCGGAACTGGTGGCGTACGAGTATAAAAGAACCGGGAAGCAGGCGGCGATAACGAAGCAAGATCCGCCAGAGACAAGCAAGGACGACGGAGGAAAAGAAAAAGCCCAACAAGACAAGAAGAAAGAGAGAAAAGGCGGTGAAGAGGAGATCAAAGATAAAAAGGACGGAGGTGATCAAAGCATGGAAGCCAAAGCAGCAGCCGTTGAAGAAGCGCCGGTTTCGACGGAGGAGAATAAAGTTGCGGTGGAAGTGAAGAAGAATGAATATTATTACTACCCGCCAAGGCATGTTACGGAGTTGTATGGATATCCGCCTCAGATGTTCAGTGACGAGAACCCTAATGCTTGCACTCTAATGTAAAAAGATGAAGGATTCAAGGGCATTGTGGGGATAAAGAAATAGAAAAGAACATCTAGTCTTCTTGTTCCTCGGCATACTCCCCTTCATTTTACTGTGTAAGTTCTGCCTAATGGCTGTGTACTATTATTAAAAAACAGATATATCTTGTACTTTTTATATTATTTAAAGATGTAAATTTCAAAAATTTTGTAGGCAATTTTACCGAAATATTACTCTGATAAATTATCTGTTAGTCACCTTTTTTTTTTTTTTAATTTTATCACTATAGCATATTTTCTATAAGTTGCGGATCGTCATCTGTGACTTTCTGGGGTTTCGTCCGAACTGAGATCAGATCATGAAAGGCGTGAACGGGCATTCGAGCCTTATACGAGCTGACGTCACATAATGACAAGCACGGATCTCCATCCGTATTTTTTTAAGATTTATGACACGCATCAAGAATGTATGGATTTACTACGTTTAGATAAACATCATATATTGAAACATTTTACAGTTAAACCCCCTTTCAAACACAAATCCATTCATATTCTCTCAAAACTGAAATTATATTTAAAAGGTAAAATATTTTATTATATTATAATAAATTAATAAATTATTATTTTATTAAATTTTATTATATTAATTTTTTTTTATTAATTTTACAGTTATAAAATAGAAGGCGGTTTGCTACGTTTAGATGAACATCATATATCGAAACATTTAGCTAATACAATAACAATTTTAAATTTTATTTTAATTTTAATTATTGTTAATATCTTATTTATTTAATTTGTTTAGTATTAATTTATATTTTAATTTCTATAATAGTTATTAATTAAGGAGAGATAACATATATTAGATCTATTCATTCGTAATTCTAAGTTAGAGATATCTACCAGTGTATGACCTTATTTAGTTGAGGCTAGATTCAGTTACGTAGAAAAATATAAAGGGCATTGTAATATTGAATTTAACCTTATTTTTGCATTAGTTGAGTGGTGGATACCAAAGACACACACATTTTATCTTCCATATGGAGAGTGCACAATTACGCTGGATGATGTTTCCATGCATTTGGGGCTTCCGGTAGATAGAGATGTGATTTATGGGGTGGCGCATGGTGACTGACATTCATTGTCGAGGAGTATCTTAGAGGTGTCCCACCTAATTTCAACAGTGGTCGAATTTCATTAAATTGATTAGATACAACTTTTAAGCATTTGAGTGGCGACGCCTCCGATGAGCATGTTAAAATGTATGTATGGGCTTGCATACTACAGCTCATAGGAGGGCTCCTGATGCTAGACAAATCGCGTAACTAAGTTCATTGTATGTGGTTGTGTTACCACACAGATTTTCATTATGCTGACACATTGAGTTGGAGCTCCGTAATTTTAGCATTTTTGTATAGGGAAATGTGCCGAGTTACTGACTATAGAAAAATGCTATCGGCAGATGTCTCTTTCTGCTCTAGTCTTGGGCGTGATATTGCATACCCTTTTTATGTTCGGTGGTAAAAAACCTGTTGGTATTTCCTCTATTATTGAGATAATTACAATATTGATTTCGTATATTAATAATTTTATTAAGTATATAATAAAAATTATTTCATTGAATAGGTGGTCAAGTGCAAGAAAATATCATCGGGATTTACCTGATGAATTGAAAGAAATTAAGCTACTAAATGATCAGAATGCTGGCACAGAGATATGTATTTAAATAACAAAATGTACTTTTAATTATCATTATATAATTAGATTATTATATTTTGATAAGAATTATATATATTTGTTTTTGTTTCAATGGGCTCCTAATTGTACTGAAGAGATGAGGATTTGCATCCCACATCACTTAAGAGACCAATTAGATGTCTGGATGGCGGTGGTCCATCTGATATATTATGCTATTGCCGGGTGGCATCCCACTGATTGTGTGTTCTACCAATTTGGTTTTGTATAATTTATTTCGGAAGCACCTAAGAATCTTGACAATTTGCATATCATCGATAGACGAGGCAAAAAAGAAGTCGGTTGGCTGCTGAAGCACTATAAGTGGGTAATGATATGGAAGGATCGACATGGACGCATTCCCCATACATAACCCATTTATGTGGATCATTACTCGGTTTTAGATGACTATTATGAGTGGTTCAATATAAACGGGAAACCGTTCCTACTTTCCGAGGAAGCAAGAGGCGGGAGCATTCATCGAAGTCGACAAAGACACCCACCGTCATAGCATCATCATCCCCCGACTCGTGAATGGAGAGCAGACGCTTTCGGCTCGTCCTTAGATGCAGCATCAGAACCTTCACAACAGCCACCGTCTACATCGCTGGACATTCCGCAACCATTTCAAATGGCACCACAACCATATCAGATGGCACCACAACCATTTCATGTGCCACTGCAGCTAGGTCAGACGCCACCACTTCCATACCATATGCCGCCACCGTCGTAGAGTTATATGACCCCTCATGGCGGATATTATAGTTGCATGTTTACAGATCTAACTTAGGGTTCATATGCTGGTTATGTGGCATGTGAAGCTTCACCGCATGCACATACACCTTCTGTACATTTTTTACACTTATCGATGTCGGTCTTTTCGTAATTTTCACAGTTTTCAATGAGAGGTGGGATAGTCAGTCATATACCTCCATGGTATTTATTCTATGGAGGTGCTACATCGTCATTCGTCTCTCATCAACAAAATGTATCTGCTATTGATGATGATGGGTGATGATGATGAGAGTGAGGAGTCAGAACAAGTTATACGAAGAAATCATCCTCGACACAGACAACACCACCCTGCAGAACACATTTAAGATGCATGCATTGATAGAGTCATACACTTCATTATTTTTTTATTTAATTTTTTTACCAACAATTATACTTTTTATTTAATTATTTACTTTTTATTTATTTCGTTTCTTAATTTTTTATTACTTAATTGTTCGAATATTTTTATTATTTAGTTTTTTTAATTTTTTTGTTGTATTGTTTTCTTGTTTAATTAATCGGATGTGTTAAAATAACAGTAACTGAAAGTAAATAAAAATTAAATAACAGAAACTTAGATTTCATAAACAACAACTACATCAAGTACAACATCACCGGTTACTTGATGACAAAAGAGATTGACATTTTTTCTTATTGTGTCTTAGGTTTCTACAATGCCCACATTTTTTTTCTTTGGACGTCTCTCGAATATCCATATCATAATGAATTCGAGTAGATTTTGGACGATTGAGCTCCCTCAATAAGGAAGGATCTGGTATAATCGGAAGCCAATTCTGAATCTTATTAGGGTATTTCTCATTACCTATGGGGGGAACTCAAATTCATATACCTTAAACACTTCTGAAAGTCGGTATACGAGATCCACAAAATGGTTATAGTCTTGACTGCTATGACATGAGAGCATGGATACTTAATAGCTTGAAAAAACCCCACCGTCGCACAATCTGTCTCGTAGATTAACTCTGAATGAGTTAGCTTGAATCCCTTGAAAAGGTCGCGGAATCTCTGTGACACAAAATAATTCATGGGTTATAGAGAAGAAGCTTGATACAAACATTTCATTTGACGCAATAATTCTTTTTTGTAAATCTGTAACTAATCTTGGGTGATAAACATGACCGTTTTGCATCCAAGTTTGAGCTTATCCCCTAAGCTTGGAAAAAAACGATCCCAAACGAAAATATGTTGTTTTTTCCAAAGTCGTTACTGGTAAATGGTGTGCCCCCATTAAGGTCGAATTGATAGCCTCAACCAAGTTGGTCGTCATGTGTCCATATCGATATCTATCATCATATGTATTTGTCCACATTTCTTTGTTGATGAGGCTGATATAATCGTATCATTCCTCGTTATTTCCTCGCAACTCTTAAAGTATGGACTCAAATGTTTCAGGTAGTAGTTCGTAACCTAAGCATCAAATGTAGATCTTACTAACTTTGTTTCCATAAAAAATGAAAATGATTGAGAAATAAAAAATAGTATTTTGACATACCCATGCACACAAGTAATTGGCGCTCATCATTCTTCTTGAACCTTCCATGATAGTTTACAGCAATGTGTCGGATATAGTACCGATGTTGGACATATGGTGGTTGTCACATTGGACTTAAAAAATCCATTGCTGCTATGATCCCAGCTCCGTGATCTAAAATGGCACAAAATTTTTCCCTTGTGATAACATGTAAGCGTAATTTTCTGAGGAAAAAACCCAATAATTTGTATCTTCTCCTTTAAAAAGGGCAAAAACAACTGGAAGTATGTTGCGATTACCATATTGTACAACTGCCAATAGTAAAACTTGCTTGTATTTCTCATACAAGAATGTCCTGTCGATTTGCACCACGGGCTTGCAATATTTAACAGCATTAATGTACTGTAAGTAGGTCCAAAAAACCGGTAGAATTGGCATCAATTGCGAAACACTCAATCATTGTGGTATGCATGGCAAGTTTTAAAGTCGATAATTGTCCCAGGATTCAATCTGCGCACTACCCTAAACCAACTTGGTAGTTCGTTGTAAGATGTATCCCATTCTCCGTGAATTTTTTAATGGCATTCTATTTTGCCTTCCATGATTTTCTGTATGAGACAGTATACCCATACTGCGATTGTATAACTGAAATCAACACAACAATAGCTATATGAGAGCTTGCTTTTACCATGAGCATGATGACTTGGCAGATAATGTCGGAGTCCAAGTTGGAATGATCCTGGTTGATCCCTCCAATACATCATGTGTGAGGACCTTTGTATATCATTAGTTCCCATATATTGTTTATTCTCTTCCTCTTCAATAGGCTAACCATCCAATTACATTCGTTATCACGTTGAAAATAGTGGCAAACATACTTTTCGGTGGTAGAGCAGTCGACTCTGGACTGAACAGAATTATGAATGTTGTAATTCTTAATTACCATCATCTCTTATTCTTTGCATGAAAAATTTATTCCTTTATATAAATCACCATCATTGATTGATAAGTTAAATCTGTAGTCACCGACATTAGACATATTCATAAATTTTAGGCTGTACATTACACTATAGTCAGCTTCATACATATGTGCTGGAGGTTCAGTATGTACCGTATTTGTGGGAACTTCATCTACATCATCATCATTGGAGTCTATGTTGAAATGCGGTGATTCTGGCTGAACGATCTCAGCACCATCCATACATGGCTCATGAAGAAGTTATTCTGGTGGAGATGAGGGTTCCTTCACGATGTCAACATTTAGGTCGAACAAGCTGGTAGTTGCATACCTTCCCCTTGAACTTGAAGGCATCTCGACATTAAGGTCAAAGAAGCTCGTAGTTGAATGTCTCCCCTTGGAGCTTGAAGGTATCATGTCAAATGGGTACTGCACAGATTGATGCGTCAAGGGCATCTCCATATTCAGGTCAAAGCAATTGGCAGATGAATGTCTTCCCCTTGAATTGGATGTGATATTTCCATATGTATTGTTTGTGGAGCCACCTCGATACAGATCGTAAGAAATTGTAGATGAATGTCTCCCCATTGAACTTGATGGGATGACATCATGATGTGAATTTCCCATTAACGAGTTAAAATCATTACATATTACTTAAGTTAGGCTGTCAACTTGATCAACTTGTTGATTCATCCTATAGTGGGAGCTAATGACATACCACAAATAACACACACTTCAATAAATTTCGCATACATCTCTGTATCGACGTCTGAATAATTATTTTGAGAATCAACCATCATAGCAATATCGTCATCGTTGGATAGTTCGAACACTGTATAAGTTAACAAAAATATTACGGTTGAAAATCTGTACTGAAGTGAGGACAATCTTCTAGTACTTCCAATATAAACCTTCCTTGAAATTTTCGTTATCAGCTCCTCAAGAGTTATGTTTCTCTTGAAGAATATTCTGATAGAATGATTTGATGCGAAGATGACGCCGATTTCATCTTCCCAAATTTCTCCATCATAGTAAACAATAGCTGAAATACACGTCATTATGAGATTTTGAAAGATTGAGATTCTTATATCTGTAAAAAATAGCTAAAATACGCCTAATTAAATAATAGTACATGAATTAAAATATAAACTAATAAAAAATTAAAAAATTTCACAATAATTTAAATAATATAATTTTATATTGTAACAGTATCGGCAAAAATGTCTCGAGTTATAATCCCACTTTAATTTTACAACCACAAAAAATAATACGAAATAATTAGTACAATAAATTATTTTCAAATAATCATATATAACATAAATATAATACAATAAAAATAATTTTACCTTATAACAAAAAATCGAAAGAATTTGTGAAGCAAAAATAGAAGGAATTGATGTGGTGATGTTTGCATAGATGTGTTATTTATAGGTGAGAGAAGAGTTTAAAGGCCGAGCTCTTCGGGTGGAACCGATAATGGAAAGTGCGGATGGTGATCTGCACTTTACTGGAGCGTGTTAGAAACCTTAGAAAGGCGCGGATGGCGATCCGCGCCTGTCATTACATGGCACCAACTCGGATAAGGCACGGATGCTCATCCACGCCTTTCATGATGTGGCGCCACCTCAGACGAAACCCCGAAAAGGCTCGGATGACGATCTACACCTTGTCAGAAAGGGTGCTAGATCGATAAAATTAATAGAAATGATGTCTGATAGGTAATTATTACGTGTCATGGTGATATTTCGGTAATATCTCCAATTTTGTATTCCCTGCAATAATAATGGGCTGTTGGATTTCGTAAATAAGTTTTGGTGATTTTCTTTCATAATGTCATAATTACTATAGTGAAAAAAAAGAAGCTAATAGTAAATTCCACCGTGAGTCGTGGTAATATGTCTGAGTAAAAAAGTGAAGATACAAGGAGGTAAAGAATGAGTGTGTCGAGAGATGATTGTGAGATTTTTATAGTGATATTAGACATAAAATAATTATAATTACTCATAAGTTAATATGACTAGATTCTAAATTTTAGTTTAGTAGATCATATGCAACTATCAAAGATCTAATCATGGATATATTGCTGTCTGTGGAGTATGAGGGTCGCAAAACTTGTTCATGCAAAAACTAAGTTACTCTAAATATGATAATTCGTTTAAAAATAACATTAAACAAAAGAGACAGTTGCCCAGAAATGAAACAATCTATTAGTCTACGCTTGCACCTGCAGGCATCGAAAACCCCAAGACATAAACCAATATGGAATAGCGTGACTGAGATTCTCCAAGTCGAAGAAAGGAGGAAGAAACAAAAAGAGACAAAAACCTGCCCTCATACGTTAGGTTCCATGTGGTCTGTCACCGACCTTTAACCCCCCCCCCCCACTTTAATTTTGATAAACCCAATAAACATTTGATTAAGAAATGCAAAGCAACAAAAAAAAAATAGTTTTAATTGGATCGTAGATCAATGATCATATATAATCTATCAATTTGGACGGTGCTTAATCAACTTCTACACGTCCAAGGCAGAATCAGATACTGCTCCTCTTCTTGCCACCTGGTACTCTGTCCCCACATGCTGTCTGTCTATAAAAACCTGTCTCACTTTCGCCTTAGATTTCAACCGACAACAAAAACAACTGTTCTCTCATCGTTACCATCTTTATTATAACTTCACACACTTGTATCAGTTCTTTGAAAGCTATGAGTCGTTTCTGGACTTTGCTCACAGGCCTTCATTCATTAGCCGGGTATATTTTTTCACTCTTTCCATAGTAATTAAATACCCATTTCTTGATGTTTTTCATTTGATGAATTGAAACTGTCCTATGATGTTTGCAGGCCTGTGGTGATGTTGCTGTATCCATTGTAAGAAAAAGGATGGAATTTTTTTTTGTTGGTTTTTATCATTTTAAACATTTCTTTAGTTAATTTTTGTTTGTGTATTAGATATGCATCGGTTATAGCAATAGAGAGTCCAGGAAAGGAAGACGATGAACAATGGCTTGCTTATTGGATTCTATATTCATTTCTGACTTTAACAGAGATGTTGTTTGAATCAGTCTTAGAGTGGTAACAGCTTGAAAAAATTTGTTAACATTATATTTTTATTCAATTTAATTGGTTAATATTATATAATTGGAAACTGTAGGATACCTATTTGGTACTCGGTGAAGCTGTTGTTCATAGCATGGCTGGTTTTACCACAGTTCAAGGGAGCCACTTTCATATACGAAAGGTTTGTGAGGGAACAGATTGTTAAATATGGGATTTTGAGAGGCCGTCATCCTGATGGGAAGGCCAAGAAGAAATTTGCGCACTTCATGGCCCCAAAGAAAGTATGTTAACAGAACCTGATATGTATATTCGATATTTGTATCGGACATTTATTTATTCGGAATTTGTTTATATGGAGTTGCAGGGGGAGCAAGAGGCTTCCTGAGGAAAAAAGGGTAGAGCTGGTGGATCTTGCGTTGCTTTGGTTGCTTCATACTTCAAGCTTTGATACTGGTTGTATATGGTTAGCTTCTGCACAAGTTTATGGGTTTTAGACCTTTGAGTACATGTAGTAGTGATTAGCAATGCGATTATTATGAAAAAAGAAGAAGAAGAAGCTTTGATTATGTTTGCAGTAATCCAGTGTTCAAGTCTCAAAAGTAGTAGCGTCTATATGTGAGAAAATATAAACTTTAAATTCATAAAATTTAGTTTGTAAGTCAACATAAGCCACTCCTTGGGTGCTTTTGTTCATTTTTCTTGCGTAAAAAATAACTCATTTTACCCGGCAAAACTTTCGAGATAATGTTCTGAATTAATTTAATTCACGAGCTAATGCAATCCCAAGATTAATTGCTCAAATAGAGTGAAATCTACAGTGTTGGCCGTAGGTCGCCATGCCTTCCGGGCGACCTTGTAGGTCGCCATGCACTCCGGGCGACCTACCCTTGCTCAAACAGAGAGAATGAACGTGTTGCATGGCACATGCACATCTCAACACATAGGTCGTCATGCCCTCCGGGCGACCTTGTAGGTCGCCATGCACTCCGGGCGACCTTGTAGGTTGCCATGCACTCCGGGCGACCTACCCTCGCTCGGCTGCCCTCGGATTCCCTCGCATAGCTCGTTCGGCTGCCCTCGGATGCCCTCGCATAGCTCGTTCGGATGGCCTCGGATGCTCTCGGATGGCCTCTGATGCTCTCGGATAGCCTCGGTCGGATGGCCTCGGATGCCCAGCGTGTTGGGACGTGCATGACACATGCTATCTCTTGTAGCTCGCGGGGAAGACATGGCGACCTAGTAGGTCGCCCGGAAGGCATGGCGACCTACGACCAACACTGTGGATTTCACCTTATTTGAACAATTAATCTTGAGAGTGCTTTATCTCGTGAATTAATTTTTTCCAGAACATTATCTCAAAAGTTTTGTCCATTTTATCCATAATCCATTTAATCATTTCAATTCTCTAATTAATCGATCATATATATATATATATTTAAAAAAGTAAATAACTTTATTCAAATTAATCTACAACTAATCTTACCTCCACACACACATATGACGTTTTTTATCGAAATATCACTAGTAGGTAATAATTACCTGTAAGACATCATTTTTCATAATATTACCGATCTACACTCTTTTTGACAAGGCACATATCATCATCCGTGCCTTTGTGGGGTTATGTTCGAGCTGGAGCGTCAAGAAAGCCGCATATCGTCATCCGCGTCTTATCCGAGCTGACACCACGTCAAGACAGGCGTAGATTGTCATCGCGGGGGGTTTTTGACACACGTACGTAAAGCGCGGATAATGATTTTATCTAAACGTAGCAAACTGCCTTCCATTTTATAACTGTAAATATTAATAAAAAATATAGTATAATAAAATTTAATAAAATAATAAATTATTAATTTATTATAATACAATAAAAATATTTTACCTTCTTAATAAAAAGATTGATACTCGGAAAAATAAGAGAATTTGAGATTTTAGAGTAGTTTAGAGGTTGCATTTGGGGAAGAGGGGAGGGGGTATTTATACGAAGAGGGGAGGGGGTAAACAAGTTTCTCATAAATGTGGGAGGTGGATGGTTGGAGTAATAAAGGAAAGACGCGGATCATTATCCGCGCCTTACATAAGTGTGTCAGAAACCCCACGAAGGCGCGGATGAAGATATGTGCCTGTCTTAACGTGGCATCAGTTAAGATAAGGTACGGATGACGATCTACGCCTTTCTTGACGTAGCACCAGCTCAGACAGAACCCCGCAAAGTCCACGCTTTGTCAGAAAGAATACTAGATCTATAATATTAGGAAAAAAGATGTCTGACAGATAATTATTACATGTATCAAAAGCTTAAGCTTACTTAATAGTTTTTTTTATTCGTAAATCTAAACTTATTTAACGCAAATATGATAAATTTCAATAATGATCGTTTAAAATCAAAATTAACAATGTGACTAATTTTTTATCTATCTTAAATTAATAATGTGACTAATTTGTCTGTCAATATTATATATTGACTAATTTTTGTTTATCAATATTATACATCTAAGATCGATCTAATACATCTGAGATTGATCTATATCAAATGTTAAAATCTGTTTTTATTATATTATTAAATTAAAATATGTAAATTAATAAAATTTTAAATAATAATTTTAATTTACCATTTTTCATATTTTCTATATAAATTAAGAAGAATAACTTATAATATTATTATTGTAAATTAATAAAAAAAAATATTTTATTTATTTTTAATATATATTATTATCTTTTATTTTTTATTTGTATCTTTTATTTATTTTTAATATATATTATTTTCTTTTAATTTTGATTTCTAACTAATATAAGAAGTGGAACTTAGACATTTTTAACAATATTACATCTAAAAATATTTTTTTTGTTCTTGATATATTTTGTACTTTTTAATTAAAATGCTACATGTAAAAATATTTTATATTCTTGATATATTTTGTACTTTTTATTTAAAAAGCTATTACTAATAAATTGATAGCATTATGTTTAAAAATCAAAATTAAATTTACCTCAACTCGTAACTTTGGTAGAAAATTTTAGAGTTTCACAAAATATAAAAAATATAAAAAAAGTTAAAATAATCAAAAAAATTAAAATTAAAATATTTTTTATAAATGTTAAAAAATAATATCTATGTTATCAATATCTTTAAATTAAAAGAAGTTTGTTAATTATATTGAATTTGAATCTATAAAAAAATACAACAACAATACAAGGAAATTGTAGACATTACATTTTGTCTTGGTTTTCATTATTTATTTTATTATTATGATTATCTATTTATATATATATATACATATATATATATATATATATTAATTGATAAAAATCGATAATTGTTAATTTAATATAATATAATACTAAGTATGCATTAAATGATTATATATATATTAATATTTTTATTATATGTTAATAGGTTACAAAGCCATTCACAACGGGAATTGCTCAACTTATTCGGAAAACCCAAATTACAAGCCCAAACAAAAGCCCAAGGAGATGGTCAGTGCGATAATCCAACAATAATTAGGGTTTCATCTTTTCTCCTCTAGTCGTCGTCTTCTATCAGTCGTTGGATCTGTGTTTGATCTAATAGTCTAGATGTGAAGGGAATTAGGGTTTGTTCTTGAAACCCTAGACAAATAATCCTTATATGCTACATGCATTCAACACATATAGGCATGATACAAGTATAGTAATGAACATATCATACACTGGAACAACAACAAGAGTAAACATCATGGTGTAGCTCGGGTGTCACATAGCCTCACGGAACTCACACCCTTTTTGTTTACTAAAACCTTAGGAAGACATGGATCACAAAGCATCAACGTCTCCCTAAACAATAGGCTAAGTCCAGGTCACATAGCTTTGGTATGTCGCCCAGCTACTCTACTCCTCTAGAGTACTCGGGACCTGTCAGGGTCACATAGAATTGACACAGTGTCCAACTAGTATTCAAGGTGCCTAAGCACTACATTGGATATATCTGGATAATCCTTACTCTAAAACACTAACATCATACACAAGTAACTCTAGTGTTCACAACGTTCCCCGAGCATCAAGCAAACATAAGTCTTATAAAATGTTACTTTATTAAGATCTTATGTTATTATGAGGTTTATTAAGGTATTTCACTTGTAAGCTTATTAGAAGGTTCCCTTCACCGATCACTTTGAATTTCTCCATTCTAATTCAAGCTAGGCTTACAACCTTAAAAATCATAATGGTACCAATACTCCTACCTGGGTATCTATAACACCCCCAACCCATATCCGACCTGCATCCGAGTCTGAGGTGTCACATTGACTTTTTCAAAAGTTTTTATTTATATATTGACAAAATTTAAATTCACAATTCAAGAAAATGAATATTTTACATTAATCCAAAATCAATTGGTTGTACAAAACACATCAGAGCATATTCAACTCAAATCTCTTAGTACATGCCAACTATATTTAATATCACAAACTACACATGATTCAAAACTCTTTTTTGATGTAAATGAGAGGCTGACATGTCTTGCTCCTCTTAGCTTCGCTTCTTGCTTCCCGGTACCTATGTGTGAAATACTCACACGCTAAGTCGATGACTTAGTGAGGCATAAATAAACTTAACTATAACATATCATTACTAATTCCTACCATGCACACTTCATGTAATCATACTAAACTATATAACACATTATGCATCAATACATAAATGCATACATATACATATCATTTCATTATCCTTATTATTATTCTTATCATTATTAGCATTATTATTATTCATATCTCTTAGTTATAAACTCTTGTATCTAAAATTATTAACCAAACAATGTACACATCATCATATAATTTCTATAACATATTTCATATCACAAAAGCATATACATCACATGTAATATGTTTATTGTTATCTCTTTATTAACCCATGCACACATGTGAGAACTAAATATATATGAGTACATAGAGGTTGTGCACTTATGCTGTCACCACAACTCGTATAATTCCTACTAGGGGCACATAGGATTTTTCCCGAAGGACCACATATAACACATATATCCCGAAGGACCACATATAACACATATGTCCCGAATGACCACATATAACACATTTGTCCCAAAGGTCCACTCCTTAAGGTCCACATACATATTCCAATGGATCAAATAAGAGTACAGAAGTACCGCATATATGTTCCAAAAGATTATATATATGTCCCGAAGGATCACGTAAAACCCTCGACTCTTGGCATGCCAACTATACCTCTAGCTCTCATTTCACATAACATGGGCATTATCTTTTATCATTTCACATATTTACATATTCATATCACATAGGCTCATAGCTTTATATCACATAGCTTCTTATTACATAGCTCATATAACACTTTTGTATGATCTCATAGTTTATTTCACTTTCTCTT